AGTAGCTGCAGAGAAAGTGGAAGTATTGGTTGCAAATTCCAGAACTCACTGAATTCCAGCAGGTTGGAAAACCATTAATGTGACATCCCAGTTCAATAATGGATGGAGACAAAAAGCAGGATTCTATGACATAAGCTATTTGGCCTAACATCTGTCCTTGGGAAATTCTTTTATTAAGGATGGAACAGCAAGGCATTTAGAAAAGCTGAATGCAATCAAACTGAACTCATGTCAAGGGAACTCAAGGGAAATCATGTCTAAAATTTGTTTGAGTTCTTTTAGGATTAAGCATGCAGAGCTAATAAAGGGAATCTGGTTGATGTAGTGTATTTGGATTTCCAGAAGGCATTCAATAACGTGTCTAATAAAAGGTATTGCACAAGTTGGAAGCTTACAATATTGGGAGTAATATACGAACTTTATTGAGAATAGGTTGACACACTGAAGACAGAGTCAGGATCAATGGGTCTTTTTCAGGTTGGAAAGAAATTACTAGTGGAGTGCCACAAGGATCATAGAGTCATAGAGCCATTCAGCATGGAAACAGGCCCTTCGGGCCAACTAGTCCATGCTTAACATAATCCCAAACTAAACCAGTCCTGCCTGCTCCTGGCCCATATCCCTCCAAACCTTTCCAATTTGTGTACTTACCTAAGTATCTTTTAAATACTGGAACTGTCCTCATCTACTACTTCCTCAGGAAGTTCATTCCACACGCAAACCACCCTCAATGTAAAATATAAAATAACCCTCACGTCTCTTTTAAATCTCTCTTCTCTTACATTAAAAATATGCCCCTTAGTCCTGATATTCCCCCACACCAGGGAAAAGACACCTACCATTAACCTTATCTATACCCCTCATGACTTTATAAAACTGTATAAGGTCACTTCTCAACCTCCGACACTCCAGTGAGAAAAGGTCCCAGCCTATCCAGCCTTTCTTTATGACTCAAACCTTCCACACCTGGCAACATCCTGGTAAATCTCTCCTGAACCTTCGCTAGCTTAATAATATCCTTTCCAAACTGGGCAACCAGAACTGGACACAGTATTCCAGAAGAGGTCTAACCAATGTCCTGTACAACAGTCTTTGGACTTCAAATATTTACCATCTATAGTAATGATTGGGAGGAGGGACCAGCATGCTATGTATCCAAATTTGCTGACAATACAAAAATAGGTAGGAGGGCATGTTGTGATGAGGACATGAGGAGTCTGCAAGGGGATATAGATGCAGTTTAATGTAGGAAAGTGCACTTTGGACCATAAATTAAATGGAGAGAGACTCCAAAAAGCGCAGCGCAATGGGATGTGGGTATTCTTGTGCATGGAATACAAAATGTTGGCACCCAGGTGTAGCAAGTAACTAAAGCAAATGGAAATTTTGCCTTTATTGTAAGGGAGCCTGAGTTTAAGAACAGGGAAGTCTTACAACTATACAGAGTGTTGGTGAAGAGTACTGTGTACAGTTTTTTTCCATGTATTTAAGAAATATTTACACTGGCATTGGAGGCAGATAAAAACAGATTCCTGAAGGTGCTGACTTGTCAAAAACAGCTGAACAGGTTAGAGGCATAGAGTCATACAGCGTGGAAACAATCCTGAAGAAGGGTCATACCCAAAACATTGACTGCTCCTTTTCTCCAGATGCTGCCTGGCTTGCTTCTTCCAGCCTCCTGTTTGTCTACCTTTGGTCCAACTTGCCTGCTCCAACAAGGCATCTGATTTGATCTAGTCCCATTTACCAGCTTTTGGCCCATATCCTTAACCTTTCCTATTCATATACCCATCCAGATGCCTTTTAAATGTTGTAACTGTACCAGCCTCCATCACTTCCTCTGGCAGCTTGTTCCATACACGCACCACCCTCTGTGTGAAAAAATTGCCCCTTAGATCCCTTTTAGATCTTTCCCCTCTAACCTTAAACCTATGCCCTCTAGTTTTGGACTCCCCTACACTGGGGAAAAGACCTTGTCTATTCAACCTATCCATGCCCTTCATGATTTTAGAGCATTTATTGATTAGGGTTTAGAAAAATGAAGAGTGATCTTATTTAAAATACAAGATTCTGAGGGCATGGAGATAACAAGAACTGCAGATTGCTGGAGTCATAACAACGCAGTGTGGAATTGGAGGAACACAGCAGGTCAGGAAGCATCAGAGGAGCAGGAAAGTCAATGTTTCAGGTTTACACCCTTCATCAGGTCCATACAGACAGACACACACACACATATACACACACCCACACATATATACACACACATCCACACACACACAGACACACACATAGACACACACACAGGCACACAGACATAGATACAGAGAGAGAAAAAGACAACACATACACTCACCGACACACACACAAAGCAACACACACATGCACACCACCCCCCACACAGACACATACACAATGACACACACACACACTCACAGACACACACACCCACAGTAACACACATGCACAGACACATACACACACACAAACACACACCCAGACACACACTCACACACAGAAACAAACACAGACCCGCAGACAGACATATAGACACACACAGACAGACATACAGATACTTATACACACACACAGGCACACACATAGACACACACACGCACAGACAGACACAGATACACACAGACACAGACACACACAAAGACACAGACACACAGGTACACACACACAGACACATGGACAGTGACACAGACAGAGACACACAGACACAGACAGACACGTCAACAGACACACAGATACACACAGACAGACACACAGATTTAGACACACAGACGCAGACAGACACACACAGACACAGAGTGAAGGGAAATACTGCTCCTGTCTGCGCCATTTTATTGAATCCGAATGTAATCTCATTACGCCGTGTCCCGTTGCCTGCAGAACAGACCTAGGTCCCTGCTCCTAAGGAACATATCCAGCTGACGCTCGGTATAAAACAGCGGAATTCGCCAGAGAAAGATATTGCCCTCTCTTCAATCTCCGGACGGCCACTTCCTCCTCTCCTTCCCCGTATCGTCCGGCAGCATCTCAGTGTTAGATTCTCGCCAACACCATCAGTTTTATAAAGATTAAAGATGGAAATGCATTTTTAACACAGGGAGCGAGTCAGAGCGCCCGCTCCTGCTCCAAGGTTATTCTCAATGTACACATCCCAGTGGAGACCGAGACAATGTTCCTGGGTTTGGCTGGGGCGGGGGGATTGTGAGTGTATGTGCGAGAGAGTGTATCTGAGGGCGTGTGTGAGAGAGCATGTGTGTGTGAGAGAGAATGTGTGCGAGAGATTGTGTGTGAGAGAGAATGTGAGAGAGAATGTGAGAGAGGATGTGTGTGAGAGAGAATGTGTGTGCGTGAGAGAATGTGTGTGAGAGAGGATGTGTGAGAGAGGATGTGTGTGTGTGAGAGAATGTGTGTGTGAGAGAGAAGGTGTGTGTGAGAGAGAGAATGTGAGAGAGAATTGGTGAGAGAGAGAATGTGCGTGTGTGTGATAGTGTCTGAGGGCGTGTTTGTTTGTGTGTGTGTATTTGTGTGCATAATGTGAAAAGTGCTTGTGTGAGTTAGTGTGTAGATTGTAAATGAGTCTGTGACTGATTGTGAGTGTAAATGAATGTATCAGTGTGTGAGTATATATGTGAGTGAGTGAGTGTGTTAGAGAGTGTAAGCGTATGTGACTGAGTGTGAGTCAGTGTGTGTGAGAGAGAGACGGCGTGCGCAGGTGGGAAACACGCAGTAAGTACATTGAAGGAGTAACGCTGGGGACAGCGATGACTGTTGGTGTATTTTGGACTGCAGTGTCAACGCTGTTTGGGATTTGCCGGATAGACAGGCGCAAAGATTCAGCATCGGACCCGGGAGGGGGGGGGGGGGGGCGGAGAGAGGGAGAGGGGGACAGACAAAGAGAGAGAGAGACAGAGACAGACAGAGAGAGAGAGAGACAGAGACAGAGAGACAGAGAGAGAGAGGAGGGAGAGAGAAGCAGAGAGCGAGAGAGACGGAGCGACAGAGAGAGAGACAGAGAAAGGCAGAGAGAGGCAGAGGCAGAGTGAGAGAGACGCATACACAGAGGAGAGACGGACAGAGAGAAAGAGAGAGAGACAGAGAGAGACAGAAAGAGACAGGGGGAGGCAGAGACAGAGAGAGACACAGAGAGTGAGACGCATTTACAGAGGAGAAACGGAGAGAGAGACAGAGTCAGAGCCAGGGACAGAGAGCGCGTGGTGGATTAAATCCCTGGGTAGGTTGGAACATTCACTCCTTACCCTACAAACTGTCCCTTCTTTTCAGACAGACAGTAAAACTCCTTTTCAGTTGTGGGGGAGGGGGTCTGGGGGAGCGAAATTAGATTTATCATCCATCTCACACGAAGAGGAGATTCGACACTGAAATGTGTAATGATGTGAAATGAAAGCGGGTTCCTCCCTCTCACAGATGCCAGTCTGAAGGTCTCACTGCAAATATCTTTCTATGGAATAAATACACCACCACCCCCCCCAAAAAAATAGACGGTGGTCTGTAAACGGGAGGGGGGTGGGGAGGAGAGAGCGAGAGAGGGCTTCATCCTGAGTCGCCACCCTCCGGATCACATGAAGTTGGTTGGGGGTGGGGGGGGACAGTAAGGAGGCAGAGACGCGTTATCTGTATAAAAGCAGCGAAGCTGGTGCCCCCCCGGTTTAAAAAGCCGGGATAGAGCGAGGGCAGCTTTTCCTGCAGAGGCTGTGTGCTGTAGGGGGGGGGGGGGTAAATTTCCCGGGGGTGGGGGGGGGGGAAAGGGAGGGGGGGGCGCTTTCTGTGTCTCTGTCTCTGTCTCTCTCTCCATTTCCCTAGCATCTCTCCCCCTCCCTCCTTGTCTCTCTCTCTCTCCCCTCTCCCTGCTCTGCCCAGTTTCTTTGCTCTGTCTGTGTGTGTGTGTTTGTGTGTGTGTGAGGGTTCAGGAGCCTGTGTGTGTATATATATATATATAGTTGGTGTATATGCAGTTTCTGCCTTGCGACATGGTCTGTGAGACGAAGATGGTACCGGATGAGGAAATGCCGGCTTCTAAAGGGGATGCGATCGCCGCTTCCAGCCAAATGTGGTCTCCAGCTCCTCCGCCTCCAGCCCCGGCTCCAGCCGGCCCCGAAGCGGCCCCGGTCCCAGCTCCAGCCCCGTCCCCGTCCCCGTCCCCGGGGGGAGCAGGAGGCGGCGGCCAGCGCCGGGGAAACAAGCCGGAGCCGGTGCTGCTGATCCGGGAGTTCGAGCCCGGCGACCGGCCGAGCGTCCGCCGCATCTTCCGAGAGGGTATTCTGGAGCGGGTCCCTAACACAGCGTTCAGGGGCTTAAAACAACAGCCTGGTACCCTACTGCTTTACTTCTGCTTCACCGGTAAGCGAGATTTGTGCTTCACTCTGAACCTCTGCAATCTCTTTTTACCCCCTCTCCCATCACACATCCCCCCCAATATCTATATATAATGTTCACCTTTTGTAAGGATCAGTGAGGGGCAAACCATATATAGGGTTTATTTTATATATGAGGTTTATTATATAAAGGGTTTATTATATATAAGGTTTATTTTATATACATATATAGGGTTTATTTTATATATAGGGTTTATTTTATATAAGGTTTATTTATATATATAGGGTTTAATATATATAAGGTTTATTTTATATAGGGTTTATTATATAAAGGGCTTATTATATATAAGGTTTATTTTATATACATATATAGGGTTTATTATATAAAGGGTTTATTTTATATAGGTTTATTTTATATACATATATAGGGTTTATTTTATATATAGGGTTTTTAAAATATATAGTTCACTGCAATTTGTACTGTTTAATAGTTTTTTTTAATATCAGAGGGACAAAACCTGGCCATTTTTAATGCCTAGGTTTCAGCCTCTTTAGAGAAACAGCTATGTGTGTGTGTGTGTCTGTGTGTGTGACCGGAGAGTTGCTGCTTGCTGGACGGGCGCTATACTGCAGGCGATGCGCGCCCCCCGGGGCTGCCCTCCCTCCTCCGCCGTTCCCCGCCAGGGCTCCACCGGCGGCTACTACTGGGGACCAGGGTCCGAGAGCACCGTCCCGCTGAGCACTCCATGTTCAGGGTACCACCTGGTTAACCTGACCTGCCGTGCTCCAGTCTACACCCCCTTCCCCAACATGTTTCTATTTACCCCCTTCCCTTTACTGGCATCGTCATTCTAACTCAGTAACCGCACTCATACCGTGTACTCTTAACAAAAGCGTTTGTCCAACTCATCGCTATCCATGTAACCAGACCCTTCCCCATAGTAATTACCCAGACCCTTTCCCATAGTCACTACCCAAACCCTTTCCCATAGACATTACCCAGACCCTTTCCCATAGTCACTACCCAAACCCTTTCCCATAGTCATTACCCAGACCCTTTCCCATAGTCACTACCCAGATCCTTTCCCATACCCATTACCCAGACCCTTCCCCATAGT